GTGAAGGTGTGTTTGGTTCGGTGGATGGATCTACACATACTGTCGGCGCTTTATTCCCACACTTCAGTTCAGGTTATGGGGACCTGTCTGACAGTTTCAGCACCATGAGCGGTGTACGTCAAGGCTGTCCCCTTTCACCATTCTTGTTCAATTTCGTCACGGACAAAATAATGGAAGACTGTCTGCGGCACTCCAGTGATGCCGGCGTGGACCTCCTACCTAGTGGAAGGCAAACTGATTTTGATTCTGCTGACGACAAGGTGTTGGTTTTTGACAACTTTCAAGCGACACAAGCAACGCTAAACGCAATTTCGCGTTCTGCTAAGTACTTCGGAGTGCGCCTTGCAGCCTCAAAATGCAAAGTGCTTCTGCAAGGTTGCTGTGATTACGTAGGTTTAATGTTAGGTAATGAAGCCATGGAGGTTGTTGATCGGTTTGTATACCTGGGAAGCTGCATCATCGGCGGCGGAAGTGTAGGGAATGAAATAGAAACTCTTATTTCAAAGGTTAGAACGATGTTCGTTAATCTGAGTCACCTGTGACGACAGAGGTATTTATATGAAGTTTAAGGGTCGCGTATATCGGACAACATTAAGGGCTGTATTACTTTACGGCCGCGAAACCTGACCGCTGAGGGTAGAGGACGTGAACCGTCTTCAGGTGGTTGACCACCGATTTCTGCGTTCACTCGTTCGTACCGGGTGGTACCAGCGAGTAAGCAACGAGGAGGTTATGAAGTGAGTGTTTGGCACTGATTGTCTAATGACCTCTTTCGTCCAATCCTTTTACTTGCACAGACGTAAATGGTTAGGTCATGTACTAAGGATGTCAGCTAGTCGTTTGCCACATCGAGGACTGTTTGCCGACGCTGCGGCCGACTGGCGCAAGGTACGAGATGGACAGATGATGACCTGGCGTAGACAGATGAAATCGTTCACGAATGGATTGGCCACTGTAGGTCGGGTTCGTCTCCCAGGCTGGGGCCCTCGCGACTCAGAGGCGGTGGCTTGAGACGTTAGGTGAGATGGTGACTAACCGAACTCAGTGGCGTCAATGTTGTGCTTGTTTGTCCGAGTTGTCTGTGAAGTGAGTGTACTTAATGACGCGAGGCAGTGAATGCCGTGATGAAGCTGTCTTGCTGATGATGCCTCACTTTTACTTACGGCTTGGTTGTTTGTTTGCAAAGTGTAGGTGCCTTAATTTTGTGTGTTTGAATATAGACGTAGCTACTTTTAGTAGTTAGGTCCCTTCCCGTCGCCTTCTTTTTTCTTCTGTTCCTATGCAGGGTTTGCTGTTTTTGTTCGTGGTTGTGTGGCATTTAAGCATCGGTGTGAACCACTGATGTATTGCTGTATGTGATGATGATTTTTAATCTAAAAACTGTACTTTAAAGTTCATTTCTTAAGACATTTATTCATCATTCCCTTCTTAGTTGCTGCACTTCTGATTTCGCCTGTTGTCGACCGACTAGCATAACTGGAGTCTGGCAGTGCTCACGAGAACTTGCTGGTATTTTTTTAGCGTTTACTAATCATGAAATGACTATCACTGGTATCACTGACTGCGAACTGTTCAGTGTCAAAGTCACAGACATTGGTTTTGCCAACATCAGCGAATGGTCACTTTTCTGCAGGCCCCCCATTGTACGACTCCATATCGCAGTGCTTCAAATCCGCGACACCACTTATCTCCTGGATCCATTCAAACAAGCGAAATTTAATAAACGTAAGCAATAGGATAGCCTAGTTACAGTGGACCTTAAATGAAATGGTTCCATGTGTGTAACATCCTTGAAAAGGTGGGGGTGAACACGATGTGTGCTTCCAAAAATCCCCTTGATTCGAAATTGTCAATAAAATACCTCAGGTTTCTCATCATCTAACGTTCCCTAAGCGAAACCTATGCTCAACAATGGCGTTGGTGGATTCCAGCGTGAACTGTTCGGGATGGCAGTAGACCCCCTGGATCATTTGATGGATTCCATATGAGGGTGGGGCAGGTGGATAACTGAGTCAAAATGTGAAATTTCCGAGCTCCTGGCCTGGCTTCGTAGTTCAGCTGGTAGAGCGCTTGCCGCCTTTTGAGTGTGGCGTTTCTGTCGTTGATTTGAATCCAGCCGAAGCCCTGACTTTTCACCATGAGATCTTATCTCAAATCATAAATCTGGCAAACTGCTTATTAGTAAAATCAGAAGAAAGGGGTCATCATCCATCATAGGCGGCAATACACCAGAGGTGTTTGCTGTTGCTCAACTACCATACAGTCTTGAAGAACAAGATTAGCCTTAGACAATACATGAAAAACGGGTATGGACCTAATTACTAAAAACAACTATTTATATATTCAAACTTTGGACATCAAAGTGCCTGAGCCTTGCAAGCTTCCTTACGGCTTTCTGTGCTCCGCGTCATTACGTACATTTATTTCACAAACAGCTCGACCAAACAACAACAACATTCACGCAACCGAACCCGATTAGCCGCCATCTCACCTAACGTCTCCAGCTACTGACTTCGTGAGTCACTAGGTCCCTAGCCTGAGAGACGAACTCGATCTACAGTGGCCAACCCCTTCGTGAACGATTTCATTTGTCTACGCCAGATCATCATCTGCCCAACTCGCATCTTACGCCAGTCGACCACAACGTCGGTTAGGAGTGCTCAATGTGGCAGACGAATAGCATCCTTAATTCATGGCTTATCCATCTGTCTATGTAAATAAAGGGATTGAACAAAAAGCTCGTTCGGTAATCACTTCCAAACACTGGCTTTCTAACCTCTTCGTTGCTTATTTTTTGGTGCCACTCGATGCGAACGACCGACCGCAGACGTCCATCTTCAAATACCTGAGGACAGTTTGCTCCTTCTATCCTGAGTGTTCAAGTTTCGCTGCTGTAAAATAATGGATCCCTCACTGTCGTCTTATATACGCGATCTCTAAGCATCGGAGGGATACATTTCTGTCGCCAGAGGTGTCCTATATTAGCGGCTACTTCCCTAACCTTGGGGATAGGTGTTTTTATTCCATTCTTTACATCTCTTCCGCCGCTAATGCAGCTTTCCATGTGCACAAACCGGTTAATACCCTTTATAACTTCATTATCTAACATTAGACCTACGTAATCATAGCAGTCTTGCAGAGTCACTTTGCACCTTGAGGCTGCAAAGGGCATTTCGAAATACTTACCAGAGTATGAAGCAGCGCTTAGCATTGTTTATGCTGCTTGGCAATTATCAAACATCTTTGTCTTCAGCATAATCAAGCGTAGTTGAACTTCCGCCAGGTAGGAGGTCCGTGTCAATAGTTTGGGAGTGCCACAGACGGTTCTCCGTTATTTCGCCTAGGATAAACTTGAACAAAAATTATGAAAGTGGCTAGCCTTGCCGCACGGTATCGAATGGTTCACCGTGGGCCCTATCTTGGGCTGAAGTATGAGAACAAATCTTCCAACCAGTCGTGAATTTTATGCTCCCCTTGGCCGTCTTCCTAAATCAGATTATCCTAGAACGAATCTGCCTCGATGCAGCCGACCATTGAAGCATCACGCCCACACCGCTGGCGGACTTCGCCGTCTTTGTACTTAATTTCGCCTACTTTGCGATAACCAGTTGTTGTGTATAAAAATGCTTTTTGTCGTGTGAGCTTTTAGCAGATTTCATCTCACCGTAATCCATTGTCACAAATGCTTCTGATAGCGTCGTCTCCATACCCTTTCGTTTCATATTCCCTGGTGCTTCAGTTTTCGGCAGATCCCTTCAGCTTTTTCTTACCCTGGGTTCCTAACATGTTTGTCACTTCATAATATAGTAATTACCGCAGTGCTATAGTAATTTACAGAGACGACTTAGGTAAGCAGTGCGTTCAGCTGCTACTGGTTGCATATTGTCAAGATTATGGTACCAATGATTCCGCTGTTTTATAGTGCCATCAGCGTAAGAATTCCTACCGGAACGCACACTGCAACAAGCGTTCTATTTCAAAGCTATTGGAAAACGTTTTAATTACTGTGAACAGACGGTTTTCAATCAACAGTGACACAGTTTAGCCTTACCAAAAAGACTTAACGTGTGTAAATGAGGCTTTGTGCATTTTGCAACTTGAATGTTGTATCTAAAGCAGAAATGCGACTTAATTATTATGAGATGTAGTCCAAACAATGAAATCATTTCATATCATTGTACTTAGCTGTTGCCTGTTTCATATAGATTTCACTTTCACTGCGTTTGTTGTCTTTGTTGTTATACACTAAAAACTGTTAGACCGTTCAACTCCAAACTGTTATTCCTACCAGTCGGACCTCGAATCCGCGACCTTCGGTCATTTGACCTGCACCGCTCTCTTGGAGGCGTCATGAGTTAAAAGTTTGTTGGAATAACGTCATACTTAGTTTTCATGATAATCCACGATTTTGAGGTTACCTGTTCTATTTTACACCTACAGCATATACGTGCTCACATTTTGCTCCGTCTGTCGCGGACTTAGATGGGACTTTTATCTGTACGTCCATTCAAAATATGTTTCGTCTGATGTATTGCCTACGAACTCTCTCCAGGCTTTCCAGTCGGAATTTTCATGGATTACGTAATTTGTTGGTATTTTCTGCGTAACATTGTGTGTTTACTTTTTAGAAACCAGAACCGCATCGACTTTTCGATATCCTCCGTTCTTAGGATCTTCAGTAGTCGTAGGCACTTACCTTGGCTTTCTGTTGTTAACAGATCGAGAACAATCTCCCGAGTACTACCCTTCCACTCTCAACGTGAGTCCTTTTTCTGTAATTTTGATGGTGCTATAGCATTCCAGTTCAGATTTTGACTTGCTCTGTAGATCCATCACTCTTGCATTTTGTATTTACGACACATTGTCGACTGTCCGCCAACGTAAACTATTTGCTTTTATTTTTTCCCCAGTAATCGCAGTTTTGACGGCGTTTACATGTTCGTTATCTTCTTCAGCCATTGTTAACTGTTTCGCTCAGCAGAGCATAAGTGATCGAGAGTTTCTCATAAGAATAAACTTTGAATGTCACGGCGTTATTGTGATTCTACGATGACCAAATTCATACCGAACTCAGCATTCTAACCTTAGTTATTTATATCTGTTCTCTAAGTGCCTGAAATCACATGGGTTTCCTAACAGGCGACCATTCCCTGTGGCTTAGAACTGTGGACTGAAGTCCAATTCATTTATGTTTGCAGACAAACACACGGGAATTATAATATCATCCGATGCTTCTAGCCTCTGGCGTCTAGTCGGCTACTAACAAAAAGATGTACATTCTTTCCCTTACGGATCCACCGAGGGAAACGTCGTACACGTTTGTTTCTTTTCCCACCCACGAGTTTGCGGTAACTCCTCGGTTTCTTGAACTGTCTTTCCATTTAGGTGGTGGAATTATGTATGTATTGAATTCACCAATAACGTTTTCAAGTCCCATCACTGTTTCGTAATCAATTGGTTACACTGCAAATCTCGTTTTCTTTTTTATCCTTACTATTCGAGTCGAACCCGTTCTATGATGGCATTCATTTTTTGTCAGCAGGCTACTCTTGTACGTCGTCTACCTCTCAACGCTACATCCCGGCTGATCTGTTGGCTAGCGGAATGTCGCATTCCGGTTTCTCTTCGGCCTTTCGTTTACAACAGCTATTCAAGCTTATTTCATTGTGACTTGAAGGAGCTGAAAAATTCCGATTTGAAGAGCTACCCCAGTGTTGCCGACTTCTTCACCCGCGAGGTATCACCGTCATACCGTCCGGTGGATCGAGATGCAGCCCTGGTCAGTTTTCCCTTACCATAATTTGTCTAGGTACCTTTTATTCATTTATTAAGCACAAAAAGACTTAGCCATACGGTAACAGAAGGTCGATCACTAAAAAAATATATTCATCGGTCAATTCGCAGGTTCCAATGCCACTCTTGCACCCTGGTTTTTGAACGAGAATTCCAGCCCACGAAGCAACGAGTTTTTCATTTAAACGTCTTTTACAGTGGTTCTGTCCGTTCGGCCGACCTTTTCTGTCATAGGATTTTGCTTAACATTTCCCACCCGCTCAGTTGGTTTTGCTCAGCGGCGACTTATTCACTCTCTCATGTTTTCAGTGATCCACTGTGGGCTTTGACGAAATTCCACAGCTTCAATGTTGGAATAATCGCGTCTCTGACTTAGTTGCCCATAACTATAGTGTGATTACAATGGGTCGGCCCTTTATAAATTAAACCCTTCATGACACCGTGTATGAACTACTCAGGAAACCGGAATTGAAGTTTTCTGTTAGTAATATCCTAACTGATTGTTTGCATTGTTTTCGGTAGTTTGGTTATTAGCCAAACAGACAAACGGCCTAATTTAAAGTGGAGTTTGCAATTGATGGGGAAATAACAGAAATCTCATGTCCAGCTAATAGAGCTGTATTTGTTGGAACGGTTGTCAATGAAAATGTCAGCATTAAAAAAAAATAGTTTCATGCAGTGCAGACAAAGGGGAGCAACTTGAAGGAGATTCTGATCGTTAATGGACAATGTGATCGAAAGTTCGTTCACAGCCTGTACACAAATGGAGGTCCCTTATATCCCATGATTGTACGGGTTTGATTTAACACTAAGAGTGACTGCAAAAGGATGGTTATTTTGCTACGTCATAAACCATACTGTCATGCTTCTGCGTTGATCCATTTCACCTGTGTGCTGTCTTCGAAATACTTGAGTAACCTTTCGAAGCCAATGTGGTGAAACAGTGCCTGATCTTGTAGACAATTTGGGTATCTAAATCAAACCTCGCTCGGTTGATTACAAGTTTGACATCTACATAGACTTTTTAGTCAGCCTCTTCCGAAGAGATGCGCTGGATCCGTTTTTCGCTTTTATCAGTACTCGTCCGTGGTGCGCATCTAAACTCACCGGGATGTGATTTCCGTTTACATATTCATGAGGCAGCCGTGCTGAACACTATGCCTCTGAATTCAAATTGGGCATGACTGAATTAGCATAGTTGGACTCTCAACCACTTCTGCTTGTGGGCAGCGATCCGGTTGCTCGATCATCTCGATGTGACATATTTGCCGCCCGTTAACTCCAACCGATCATCCCGCGAAAATTGTAGTACTTCAACTAGAGATTAGAACA